CTGTGGACCAGGCACCATCCTAGGCTCTAGGGGAACTGCAGTGAAAGGTTACTACCCTTATGTTACCAGAAGTGTTAGAGTCAAAGCCTGGCCCTGACAGCCCCAACCATTATGATTGCCCACCTCTCCTCAACAGGCCAATTAAAGTGAAAACCAGAGAAAGGAAATTTATTCAGTGGGACCACACTGGGAAGAGAAATGACTAAAGAGAGCCAGTGCCAACATCCCCATCCCTGCTCAAGTCCATCTTTAGAGCACTATCCTGAGGTTCAGGTTTAAATAATGGGCAAGAGGTATGCATAGTTAGTAATCCATCCTGATCAAAGTGTGGTCCTGCCCATCACTGACACATCTGGCTCCTGACTCAAGGTCTGTCCTACAAGTTGTCAGTGCTAAATGAGATCTCTTTTTGAAAGACAAATTCCCCCTCTAACTGACACCAGGGCCTCAGTCTTTTCCTCCCCTAGCATGAGACCCTAGGGAAATTCCAATTCCTGGGATTCCATTGTCTGAAGATCAGTCTTCTAGCCAAAGGGAGGTGTTACAGGCATGGATTATAGTCAGAGTCACTATTATGTCCTAGAAAAAAAAGGGAGCAGGGATACATAGATAGTAGTAGAAACAATGAGAGCTTACCAAGATGAAGAACACTCCAGAGCATGAAAGCAGGCTAGAGAGCTGGGGACGGTTAGAAGTTCAAGGCAATGCTCACCCCAAGAGTGGTGAGTCTTCATGGGTCATTTACCTAGCACCTGCCTTCTCCCACATTTTATACCGTGTGCTTTTCTTGCACAAGCTCTACTCCTTATATGAAGCCTAAGGAGCAGTTTCTAGTCTTTCTGACAGCTGGCTTCTTTCATGTTAATCTTGATCCCTCTCTCTCCTGCCACAGCAGGGCACAGGTGTATCTCTATAAAGACTATCTTCACAGTTGATAACGGCATTGCCCACTAGGCATTCCCACACAGTAATGAAAATGTTCCCTGTAATGAATTTGGTAACCACCAACCACATGTGGCTCCCAAGCTCCAGAAATGTGGCTAGTGTGACCAGGCACTGAATTTTTCATTTTATCTCACTTTAATTAAGTCCAAAGAGCCATATGTGTCTGGTGGTTACCATATGGCACATCAGGTTCTCGGGGGAGGGGGGCAAACAGTAAGCAAGTAGATAGCTATGCTCTTAACCACAAAATAGATCAAGACAGTGTTGGTTATTGAAAAGTGCTTTGAAGAGGTACTAGAGAGATGGTTCAGTGGTTAAGAGCACTGTCTGCACTTGCAGAGGACCTACATGGCGGCTAACGATTCCCAGTACACATTATTGTAGTGGCTTATAACCATCTGTAACTCCAGGTCCAGAGAATCTGACACCCTCTTCTGACTTTCGTGGGCATTTCATGACATGGGTGTACTTACATATATGCAGGCAATATAGTCTTAAACATAAAACAAATTAAAAATAATAAATAAAATATTTTTAAAAAAAAGAAAAGTGCTTTGAAGAAAGCAGAGTGAGGAAACAGAGAGCAGTGGAGAGAAGGTTCTCTTACAAAGTGGTGATAGTCAGGAACAGCCTCTCTAGGGGTAGAATGTTCTGACAGAGATGCTGTGACGGAAGTGACAATCCAGACAGAACAGCTGGCATACATGGGCAAGGCAGAGAGAGCACAGGTCAGAGCATGCCCAAGCTTGCAGGCTGTTACAAGGGAGTATAGTTCGCTGAGATGGGAAAACAGAGAAGACTGCACAAACGGCCAGGAACCAACTCTCATCTCAGCACATTCCACTGTCACTCCAGAGAAAAGCATCAGGAAAACTCAAGGCTGTGGTTGGAATCCAGAGATAATGGTGGCTTAGACAAAGGCGCAGAGCTGGAAGGTGTGACTAGAGCAGACAGGACTGCTGATGAACTGGCTGTGTGGGGAAAGCCAAAATGCGTTGAGCCCAAGTGGACAATGGTGGAGCCACTGATGGAGACGAATGCACATATTTGAATGTGAGGCACATATGTGAAAGGGAAAATGAGTTTTCATTCAAGGGAGTGAAACTCGAAGGCAGACTGAGCCTGAAAGAAGCAGTGTCAGCATGTAGCCAGAAGCCCCCGCTCCAGCAGCCCCAACAAGCTAGGCTTGGCCACCCATCTCACTATGCCAATGAAAAAAAATGAGTGGCACCAAAGGCAGAGAGGAGATTGAATCGATGTATTCAAAAGAAGAAAAATAAAAGGAGTTCCGTGACCCCAAGTTCATCTTCAGGAAATCAATCTAACCTTTAGGACTAAATAAAGGAAGAATTGGAGCAAAAAGCATATATAACAGAAGAAGAATTGGGACCGGAGGTATATATAATTATGTAGCTCCTGGTCAAAGTGTGGGCCTGCCCTCACTGCTTGAAAGCTGACAGGATAATAAATTCATCTCTGTTTGTTGTTTGTTTGAGACAGGGTCTCTCTGTAGCCTGTAGCCCCAGCTGGTCTGGAACTCACTGTGTAGACCAGGTTGATGTCAATCTACAGAGATCCACCTGCTTCTGCCTCCTGAGTGCTGAGTTTGAAGGCACCACCACACCCATCCTATAGATTCATCTTTTAATCACTGTTACTGTCAAAGGGGACCAACTAGTTCATACAAGATAATCTGCCCACTGGTAGCCTCGCCAACATAAATAATTGTTCTCACCCTGTGGTGGTCTGTCCTGTAGAATTTCCTGGAATGCAAGGTGACTGCAGGTTTAGGACAATGACTCTTTGTGTCTTCAGCCTTCAAGGAGGCTGAGACAGGTCAGGTAGACAAACACCATGAACATCACCAAGTGATGATCATGCTTGGGCAGAGAGTCAAGTGAGAGTCTGACCCAAAGTAAAAGAGACAGACCTAGAATGAAGGCAGAGGTGCCAGGCTTTCATCCTGCATTAGTTGCATTGTGAGCCAGAGTGAGAAGTCAATGCCTTTTAGCAAGAGCAGCTTCTGAGTGTCTGTAATGAACATGGTCAACAAGAGGACGTGGTCACCCTCTGCTCTGCTTTTCCTGCATCTTCACCCTTGCAATCACCCCTGAGGGACCTGCATCCACACAGATAATGGAGTATTCCAGCCTGAAAATACCAGTGTTCTAGTTTTAAGGTGACCAGGTTCTTGGGGTCTCCAGAGAGGAGGACTAGGTTCTTGGGGTCTCCAGGGAGGGGGACCAGGTTCTTGGGGTCTCCAGGGAGTAGTGCTTCTTTCCTAAGTCCTCTTCAGGTTTGACACTTGAGCTTCAGGATTGAACAGAGTTAACTCCTGAAAATAAGTTCTTCACTTCTGTCCTTGAGCCTCTTCTATAAGTGGGACTCAAGCAAAGGCCAGTGGGAGGGGTGGGAGCCTATCTGTCATCTCCTTCCCTCACTTCCAGTGTCCTTGTCTCCAAACACTCCCTTCTAAATGTTAACTCACAATGAAACTGGCCACAAATTAAAAGGCATTGAGATGCCAATGTGGCCAGCCCAACAGTGCCCCAGTCTGAGTTCTGTTAACATGCCCCATGTTCTAACAAGCAAATTGTACATGTACTCCCAAATTAATATTTGTTTAATGCAATTCCAATCAAAATTCTAATGGGATTTTATTTTGCAGTTGATTTTGATTTATTAAAATGATCAAAATAACCAGGAAGGGTTCTGCAAAAGAAGAGTCACAGGGAGGAATTCACTCACTCTACCAGATATTAACATGAACTCCGAATATTTAAAACGAGATTAGTAGCAGGGCTCAGTAAGCCTCAGTAGCTAGACTAGATATACAGATTAGGTAACTGGGAACATACTCTAGGAGATATAAAATGTAGTGTATGGTAAAGGTGGCTTCTTAGAAATTAGTGCGAAAGAGGAGCTTAACACATGCTGCTGAGATAATGGGGAACTCACAAGGAAAAATTGTTGTACTTAACTCAAGAGTGTTATACTTAATTCAAGATAAATTCAATACTGGACAAATTAAATTTTAATCAAAAACCATTAAGGTGATGGGACATGGCAGTACAACGTTTGTAATCCCAGCACTTAGGAAGCTGAGGCAAGAGGATTGCTGTGAGTTTGAGGCAGGCCTGGGCTCTATAGGAAGTACCAGGCCAACCAGAGTTAACCAGCAAGACCCTATTCCCAGAATATAAAGACAAGTTGAAATCCTGGGGGGGGGGGGGGTG